CTTTAACATTAGTAAACAAAATTAGGATTTTTACTTTGAAAAGATGCAATATCGTTTCATTATAATATATCCATAAAATGAGCGTTACCAATTAAAGGAATCATAACCAAATTAACTAGTTAGTTTGTTTACAAGTATTTGTTTTTAAGATTATAGTGTAACTAACTCATTTTTTTTTATATACTTTTGACATGTAATAGTAGATAATACTAAAAATACTCATGTTATCAAAAATCAGATAGAATTTTTGGTGTATTGTATGTGAACTCGAAAGGAGAGACTATAGATTAAAATTAAAATTATACATTTTGCTCCATGTTTAGAAGTATTCAGCTACATTCTATTTCTACTTTTGGATTTCCTTGAGAAAAGCATAAGTTTTTTCCTTCTTTTTCGGCATACGTATCCTTAAATATTCGATGAGTGTCGTATTCGATACGGGTACGTTGACCATGACAAAGTATCCTTTCTTCATAGTCCTACTCTGAACTAGAGGTAAGAGGTTATATCTCGCAAAGATACCTCTATAGGCATGAATCTTGTGCACGGGGCATGACTCTTTCTATATAAGAATTTAAAGCAACCCGAAAACACTTGAGTTATGTTTGAGCTTGTGTCACATCGAAAGAATAATACCTCCTAAACTAGTATATGAGCCTTAAGGGTCCTCCCTACCCCATTACCAACTGATTTTAATTGAAGTTTTAATACGATATCAAAGTTTCGCTTGGGGAAGAGGGTTTGAACAAAACTCAATTTTCCCAGTTTGGTAACTGACATCTCCTTTTGACTATGTCATACGTGCGTTTTTATGTTTTTAAATTTAAATTTTTTATTCATTTTTTTTCTATTAATCTCTTTGCATGCGAGGGAGGGATTGCATTTGTGGGGAAGTGTTCAAATTTTCACTCATTCATATTTAATCAGTCTTCTAATCCTCATGTTTTTGTTATGCTTTAACCAGGTACACCATGGTCTTTCGTTTACTACCTTGATCTAACAAACACGTCTGTTGAATATTAGGTTAAACAAGTTCTCAAGAGATATCTTTTGACTAAAATCCGGTGTTAACTCTATGATTAAGAACCTCAAGACAACAAGATGGAAACTGGAATAAGAAGAGAATAGTCAATAAGCCAAGCCAGTCAACTTACAAAAATCCTTTTTCGTTATCTAGCAACGTATGTCTTTATTAATTTCAAGGTGAGGGGTTTTTCATTTTCTTTTAAACCTAAGAAGAAGAGAATCTTGTATCAAGAAGAAAAAGTATTTAATGGGAAAAAAGCTTATGCAATAAAAAACTCAAGTGGGAAAAAATGTCTGAGTGAGCCTTGTATACAACCTATGCATTACTATGTCCTATAACATTACAATGAATATACTACAAACTTCAAAATGTATATGACCATTCCTACTTATTATGAAACTTACTTGCAAATAAGCCAAATACGCATCTACAATGTCCTCAAATGTACTACCATTGTCATCCATTAACCTACAAAAAAACAAAGAAAAAGGGCAACTTAACTGTAAAACATGTAAGAAATGACTTAAACCAAAACTGCAATATTTAGGCAGAAAAGTTCACACGCTACTATAAGGTTAAATTTATAGTATAAGTAATGATTCAAGTTATGTGAACATTCTTAGTAACCCACCATGATGTCATTAGGCAATAAACACAGTGAAATGTGTAGCAGTTGCCTACAATGTTTATAGCATGCTTACTTAGTTACTCTCTCAAGAGTTGATACATCAGGAACAAAAATATGAATACAAGTAAATTGTTGGGGTACCATACATTAATTTGCCTAGATAATCTTCCCCTTTGTGTAAAGACATTTAGGGGCTAAGAGTATAGTTCCCGAAGTCACGATAAACTGGTTTTTTTCGTAGTCTTTGGTGAAAAAGAACCAAAAGGACACCCAAGGAGGGTTTCTGCCCCATTACAAAATGGAAGACCATTTTATTTTCCTCTTATTTATTTTTCTTAGGAAGGAATGGAGTAAGAGATGCCATTTTCTATAGCTTCTTACTCGGTCCTACATTCCTGATTTTAAAAAGGAGGGCCGACTGCTCCTACTTTTCCTAACCCCAAGTTGTCCCAAAAAAAAAAAAAAAAATCAATTCCCAACAGCTTTTGCTAAGACCATACTTTTCCCAACCTTTTACAAATCCCTAATTCTCCGGGATGGAGCCACCTTCTTCCTTTTCATCAAAATTACGAGAATCCATCTATAAGAGTCCAGAGAGAAACTACATCATAAAAGAAGATCAATCCTGACACTTGCTCACCTATATTTTCCCAGGACAACCATAACATATTGAATAAGATTGAGTACCATAATAAGGTCCTCAAAAAAAATTGAAAACAATTTTAAAATGTTCTCTCCCTTCCCCACCCCAAAAAACAGCCGGGGGAAAAAAAAAAAAAAACCCTGCACCGTGTTTCTCTTCTCTTGCTCACAAAGAAGACAAGGATTATCCATTCAAGTTAACAATAAAAATCTCTCACTTGGAGAAAATTATTAAAAATATGTACAACTTAATAAAATTCATTCCTTGCTAGGATTACAAATGTGATCGCCCCCAACATGCCGAAACAAACGTATTTAACCTAGAGGGGGATGAATAGGTCTTAAACTCAATGAGGAAATTATGCCCAATTAAAACCTAATTCTACTAATTATCTATTACTCCAAAACACAAAAATCCCTAAATTAATAAACTCAATTCAAGAATTTTAATGTTTAAGCAAAATCACCAAATTCCAAACAACCTTAAGTTCAATTGCTTCTGTTCACTTCTAACGGCCATTAACACAAATTGATTTTCAAGATATCAATCAATTATGCATGTGAGAAAGGTAAAATTGCAAGTATGCAAAGCACGCAAGAGACAAGAAAAACACACAACACAAGCAATTTTTACGTGTAAGCCCTATTGAGAAAAACCACAGGACCATAATCCACTTGCCTCAAACAAAGTTTATAGGCCCTAAAATCTTTTATCTTAACTAATACCATGGTTAGACGTTTTCTCGTCCACCGCAAGCTTTAAACGACTTGTTTCAATAGGTAATGAATTGAACTCCACAATTCGCCCTTTGAATCCTCCTCCTTCTCCTCTTAGAATCACTCTTTGATCCTTGAGATGTTCCTTGGATCCTTGCTTTATGGGTTTAGAGTGATCTACTAGATCTCTCAAACTCTAGATTAATCAAGTAAAAAATGTGGTTTGTTATGGGGTGCTAGGTAAGGTCTTTCAAATTCTTTCTAGCCTTTCTTAAACCCTAGTGTCTTTCATAAGTCTAGAAAAGACGTTCCCTATTTATAGGTCAAGAAAAATATACTTTAATTAGTGAGCAAGAAAGCTGATCCGAGAACCAGTGAGTGCCAGGGGACGGTATTCTTCCAAGCCGTGAACAATGGATCGCTCAGCACCCACAACTGTTTTAGTTTTTTTATGCTCAGTATATTTTCCACAGCCGCAAGAGTTCTTGGAGAGCGTTGCCCACTGGTTTTTCAACCTAAATCAATGATCACATCGACTCTTTATGTATCAAGAGATGATACCTACAAAACCTCCATACCACGACTCTTATACTTGTTTCAAAAACAACCCTCAAAGTTTCAAAAATATTTTTCATATTTGTACAAGAGTTATGCTACTTATCATCAATACTAAAATATCTAAATCTGGTTTATTCACCTAAGTTTAACCATTCTAAGGCAACTAGGTATCTACTTATTTTATCTCACCTAAGCTCGATAGATTCCAAGAAGTCTTCCCATGTGTTGCAATGTAGCTTGAGCTTCTTCATCACATCTTCCTTTGGTCTTCAATCTTCATGAATATCTTGACCATGGTTGAGACACATGTACAAAGTGACCTCACCGAATATTTCTATTACAATCAATTTCCTAATAATTTTTTAAAGCAAATAGCAAAAATATAAAGAAATCACCCATCATATCGCTGAGAATGTTCGCTCTTCGTCTACTGCTGTCGAAGAATGATATTAGATTCTTTTTTGTTTCTGTTGGTGGAGTACTATACCTATACCTCAATAACTTATGTCTGGGATGCCTGCAATGTGCTCAGACAAAAAAATAAATAGAGAAAATGATCCTTTGAATTGACACATCAATCATAGCCCAAGTTTGGTAAGCCACCAACAAAGATTTCATATGCCACTTGAAATTCAAGAATATTACAAGTTTTTTCTCAGACCACTACAATTTTAAACAAACCAAACATCAGATATTTCCATGTTTCTAAAAGTTAATCCTTCAGCTAGGGAGTTCGACCTCTCAGGGTGGCGACCCCTTATCACGACTTAGAATTAATCAGGCATCAATGACGAAATATCCAGGTAAGCCCTAACACCTATACCATCCAAATAAGAATGCATTTGCTTGTTTTAGCGTCAAGAGGATAAAAAAATCTCTAAAATGTTGACTAACACCAAGTTTTTGCTTTTATCTTTCTTCTTATTTAGTTTTTGGAGGGGGAGGGCATTAACGCAAGGTATCCCAACCCCTTTTGAGGCAAGACTAACCTCCTGGACTCAAATAAATTAAAACATCAGAAAGGTTGAATTATAAAGATCAATTGACATAAACATAAAACTTATTTGTAGATCACTCTAAATTATTGGTCATTTGATAGCTTAGCAAATAGAACAATTTCAAAAACAAGTCAGTGCACATGCCAGATTGGACCATTACATACAAGCTAGTGAGACGTCAAATTGAGCATCTAGTCATACTTACTTCTGGTAATAATTGCTTTGTTTAAGCGCAAAAAGCTCAAAAAGATGTCGTGGATTTGGCCCTAGCACCTCAACGATCACATTCCACTACAATTGCAACAGAGATGTTGAATTACTCGCCCAAATCAAAGTTTTACTCATACATGTAAATAATAAAAGTTATGCATAGGGAAACGCATGAGTAATTCTTCTATAATATGAGCTCACCTCGGAGTGACTGAAATAATCAGCGACCATATGCATTTTGGCTTCTTGTGGAGTCCATCCAAAGGTCTGAAAGTTGTGAAGAATGACACATTCCAAACTCAAAATATAACACATCACAGAAAACACCATTAAGTCATGAAAACAGAGTCACTCAGACTCACATTATGAACTAGATACGAAAGAACGAATAACTTATCAAGTGAAGCATGTACATTTACATTCATGCAAAAACCTGTCACACATGCATCCACACAAACACATGCAAAAATCTGTTAGTCTCACAGTATTGAGTCTAGCCAAGACAGTGACCCGCCGACACCCCTTACACACCAATCAGCGAACTGTACAGCAGCTGACTAAGGTCACCACCCTCTACTTCGATGGTATTCTCCAAATAGAAATACCCATTCCTACTATCTTAACTGCAAGTTAGGACAGGAGGGGGTAGAGAGCTATACCTTCAAGACATCAAGACAGAAAGAAGCCACACAACATGTATGCACCCCATTGCAGTTAGGACAGGAGAGGGTAGAGTGCTATACCTTCAAGACATCACACTCAAAAAAAGAAAGAAGCCACACAACATTTATGCACCCCACATACACACAAAAACAGAAGTACAGACACAATCAGCAAAGAGAAAGAGCAGTAATTACAAGACATCAGAACCAAAAAAGAAAGAAACCACACAAAATGCATGCACACGAGATACATACACCAAGAAAGAAGTACAGACACAAGCAGCAAAGAGAAAGAGAGAATCAAATAATTTCATCCAGGTTACCTCACGGGATATGAAAATGTCTGGGAATCCAAAATCCAGAAAAGCTCGGTATGAATAATAGCTGCAGATAGTAGTTAGTTTCAAACTTCCAAAGACAGAAATAACTAAAAAAGGATAAGAGTATTGTTCAAAAAAAAAAACAGTGAAACTACAATAAACGGGAATTTCAGAAATTTATGTATAATATGGTTATGAAGCTTCACAAAAATCAAATTGGCACGCTGGATGCTGCCAACAGGCAGTTGACTAAAATATGCTAGAGAAGCAAAGAAAATTGAGTACAATTTTGCCAGTTCTGATTTATTCTGGATTTTACAGCATGCGACCCATCAAATCAGAACAATGGGAATGCCAAGTTGATGCTCCAGATATTGTTTAAAGAAAATAACGACAAAGGGAGTACAACAGAATAATCAAGATTAGAGGCCCAGATGGCTCACAGCCAATGAAAAGGCCAAAATTAGGCTCCTAACAAGATTCTAAAGCTACTAAGAAAAAAAAATGATAGGAGAGATATCACAGCTTCAAGGATATCCGGCTTGTCAACAATGTGGTTGTTGAATCCTGGTACAACCTGAGCTTCTTTTTTTTTTCCCAAATGGTACAACCAGAAACACTAGTAGATGAATGGTCTGAAGGTTTCGTGGGCTCATACGAATTTAGAAGGGTCATGATTATTTAAACAATACCACAAAGACAAAAAGCCAAAGGCTCGGTCATTAGGGAACATAATACTGTTGCATGTTAGAGTGGTTCATACGTGAAACAGTTGGCACCAGTTATATATCTTGGGGTTTACCATCTCCTAATATCGGCTTTACTGCTTTCCAATTGAGGACAGTTTTTTCTGATCAGTGAAGCCACAATTGATCAGTAATGAACTGCTTTTCAACAATATTCGAGTTCCCTTGTTCACTTAAAATGGTTTTTCTCTCTTATTCTTTTCTTGGTTCTAAAATGTTAGTGTCATGTTCATGTGACTAAAGCTACCTCAGGGAGACAAGTATCAAAGCATACAGGCTTTCAAATAGCATCAATAAATTCATAATTACAGGATCAACATCGAGCCCTAATTTGGATTAGCATTGAGATAAAGCAAAAACCAGGCACCAATATACCATTATTACAATGAGTTATTTACAAAATTGGTCACTAAGCAAATTTGCATGTCAAAGTGAACACGTGACTATGCCATAGAAGAGAAGTGACCTGCAACCTAACCTGGATTTTATGTATACCTTCTTGATGTATCATTTTTGCATTTCACTCCTTGGAAGAGATGTCAAACTGTGCAGTTATAGTCGATGAAACAGACATGATTATTCAACTAGTTGTTCCTTAAAGAAACTGAACATATGGGACCTTTTCAACACAAGAACAACTCCGTTTTTCATAGGTATTTTGTGAGATCAGCACCAAACTCAACCAAACCAATCATTTACCCCTAAACTAGTCTATGGCACATTAGAAATCATCACGTATATGACTACATAACCTAATAGGATCACCTAGGTCTTAGTTTAGGACAGTTAGTATGAAGAAGGAACATCCAGATGACTCTCTAATCATCAGTATTATCAATTACTAATTGCAAAAAGGAACTATCCATTATCCAACCTTTAGTTCGATATGACTTCCATTAGTTAAAAGACTGGTTCACAGCTGCAGTTTTTCCTGCCAATACAAATCAATACCTGATTTAAATAAAAAACTTTAGTTCATAACGGTTTGATTTGTTAGCCCACATGGGAGCCCTGATCCTAAGTGAGGGAGGATATGAAGAAACCTTGGATCCCAAATCGAAAGATTGACCACTTAAGTTTCATTTACATATATGAAAGAAACATACTAAGAAAATGAAAGTTGAGCTAATGGCAATTAGAATCTAGATCACTAGAGCTTGACTGGACACACACTTCAAAGCTTTTCATGACCATGATAGATATGTAAATCGAACGGTCCATATCCCCATGATTATGCTGCAGCTCAATAACCCAAGGATAATATGAAGGACAAATCACAATATGTTTGGTCAAGTAGAAATGTTGAGCAAACAATAACTTTAGAGACCCATAAAATAGAGAGAAAAAAAAATTGCACAAGTATAGAGCTACCTATCTGATGACACGAGAATGATAGGCAGACACCGCTCATTTGCACCCAAAGCAATTATTCTCCATATGAGACTATCATGATACATTGATGCACAGACGGTTGAATCATCTGTTAACACGGCATTCCTCAAAACATCGACATTGTTTAATACGAGCTTCGGCTGTTTCATATGACATTAAAAACAAAAGACAAATCCATCAGTTACAGCACCACAAACTCATGAAGTGCTACACAAAATCATATAATTGCATCTAACAATAGATTTCAAACTGCACATTTCATGTAATAATACACCAACTCTTAGTCCAAATTCAGCCTCTGGGTAGTGTGAAAATTGTAAAATCCAGCAATTTAGTCGCCAAAATGAGTATATGTCAACAATCTGGCGGCATTTTGCTGGCTTGGAAAACGATTATTTCTTGGCACTACCTGAAAGTAATCAATTTCAGCAGCAGCAGATAACAATTCGAGCAACAAAGACGGCCAATCCGTTGCCGAAGTCGCCAAAGACCTAGAGAACCCACCCTTCCTATTCAATTCCTTAATAGCATTAGCCCTCCACCCTTGCTGAACCCTTATCACCTCTTTTGCCAATTTCAACGCAACAAATGCTTCTTTATAATATGAAGCCTCGTCCATGCCCACGCTCTTTCCCTTCTCTCCCAATCCCAAAAGCCTCTCAATCTCTTGGGCATTTACTCGAGCAGATAGAGCGAAAACCGCCTGATCCCATAGATTCGAACTTGAAACCTTATCCGATAATGCTTTCGAGCTAGAATTGCTATTAGTCGATTGAATTATGCGTTTAAGTGCGGTGTTGAGGTGGTGCCATTTGCTGAGGGTAGTGAAGATTTGGTGGGAGCTAATGGTACCGAGTTTTATTGCCTTATGGGTCATTGATTCGAGGGTTTCTTCGAGTTGGGTTCGGAGGTTAGGGAGAGCTGGTGGTGGGCAGTTGAACCATGAGCCCCATGGGAATGACTGGCCGTGTATTGGGTGGTAGCCTTCGATTGATTGTGCGAAGTCGACGTAGCCTGTGATATGAGGACCCTTATTCCAGTTTTCAAGCAGACCTGTAAACAACATAATGTCAATTAGTACATAATACAAACAGGAAATGTGCAGAGAGATAGAGAGGTGAGGAAGTTACGTTCAAGGATAAGGGTGGTTTTGCCGACACCGCGAGGGCCGTGGAGAATTAGAGGTTGAGGGACGCGGTGGTGTTGGACGTGGTTGTTGAGGATGGTCTCGAGCAAAGGTCTGGGAATGATCTTCCATGCCTTAGTCACCATCTCCCTCCTCTCTCTCTCTCTCTCTCTCTCTCTCTCTCTCTCTCCCCTGAAGTTGCTCTAGTGATTCTCTGTATTGTAGCTACTGTTTGGGAGTGTGCAGTGAGCGGGGCGAACCCAAGGTACTCCACGACTCTGGTAGTCTGGTTGGGTCAGCCGGGTCAATCAAGTCACGTGCACGTGTATCATTTTCCGTTATTAATTTTAAGGGTTAATTACAAAACGTCCCCTCTAAGTTTGAGTCATGTTTCAATCAGCTCCTCATATTTTTAATTTCGACAATCTGCCCCTTCAAGTTTCTTTAGATTTAAATTAACTGAGAAAGTGGATGAAAATCACAAAATTTCTAAAATACCCCACTAATTCTATTTTGTATCTCTTCTTTATACCAAACCCATTTCCCCATGCTTTGGTTAGCCTCCAACCCCCTTCTTGTATTTTGACGGTGCCCCTAACCCCCATCTCTTGCTCTGGTGGTCCCCTAAACCCCATCTTTTGCTCTAGCATTCCTCCAACCCCAAACCTTGCTCCACCGATTCCCTCAAACCCCCACCCCCACCCCATGCTCTAGCGATCCCACCCCTATACCTAATGCCGACAGCACCCCAAAAACCACCTCCGAAAAAAACTAAACTAAAACTTACCCACAACCACAATCCCCACTTCTACCAAGTAACCCCCCTGCCCACCCTTCGTGAATAGAAACCCAAACAATCCAGTTTGAAAAGCCTCATTTAAAGTTCCTTTGTCATTTATAGCTTTTTCATTCACCGGTCATCTGAACAAACTCGAGACAGTAGAAGATGCTCTTGTCACGATTGCATTGATAGACATCTGAATGATGCCTAGAGTGTTCTCCATTGGCACCAATTTTTCACACGAGTTTAGGATTGATCAAAACTTTAAGGCTTTTGAGGTTTCGTTTGTCACTGGGTATAGATGGGTTTCGGTTTCACAAAGAGGGAGGGAGTGGATAATCACAGATTGAGGGAAAGTTGGGTTTTACCGAATTTCTTCTTTATGAGTTTTTGCACTTCTACTTGTGGAGGGTTGGGTTGTTTTTGGATTGAAGGATATATATGTCTTTTAATGGTGTTAATGTTGACTACTATCAATTTAGACGGTCAAGAATAACAGCAATCCACGAGGAGCTGATTGAAAAATGTTAAAATTTGAAGGGGACAGATTGTCGAAATTAAAACTACGAGGAGCTGATTGAGACATGAGCCAAACTTGGATGAAGTATTTTGTAATTAATCCTAATTTTAACGAAATAGAACGAAAAGTCTACGTTGGGTCAAAATAAAGATCAAAATTTGGTTTTAATGTATTATTTTAATCACCTAAAAAACGAAAAATATAATAAAATAATAAATTTATTTTTTCAAAATATTACTCAAAGTATATCAAAGTATCTTGAAATACCCTGAAATATTTTGAAATAATTGTATAAATGAATTGAAATATTACAAAAACATCTCGAAAGATTAAAAAATATATCAAAATATTAGAATTTCAATTCTATCACTGATTTGTTTTGATTTTTTGAAACAAATTGATCATTTTTCGTGTGGATTCGAAATACTCTAACATATTCTCTTATTTAGCGGGTGACACACAAGTTGTATTATGTAACCTGTCTAATAAATGATTTATATATAAGTTTGATAGCTGAACTCATTTATATAAATGAAAAGGATATAAATGAAATTTTTTTTGATACCAAATCATTCCACTCGTCAGGCCTATTTGGTTTGTTTGATGGGGATTATGTTTGCTTGCGAACGAATTTAGTACAAGGATGTTTACTACCTTCATAAAAGTTTCCAATAGAAGTTTTTTTAAGAAAAGGCATAAAGTATGGAATTGGAATATCTATCTAATAAAAAAGTTAGCACTTTTAATTTTATTTCCATATACTTTTTCTGTCCATTTCTATCACATCATTCATTTTTTATCACATGTTAAATTATTTGCTTTTTGATTAATTTGTGACTGAATACAATTTTTATTTCAAACTTTGTTCATATATGATAGTGTACGCATATTGATATATTTTTAAGGTCATGTATTTTGAAAAATATTAGTCAATTTTTTAATTAGTGGATAGAAATAAATTTTAAATTATGTAATTAAACAAAGAAAATGGAAAAAATTACTATTTGAAATAGTGGGATTATTTTCTTAAGCGCTAGAATTTTATATTACATCGTGTTTTTTAGGAACGAATTATGGCTATTAGATGATATATGACACATGCATTGGTGATCCATTATATATCTTATAGCATACTATAGGTTTAGTTTTGCAAATTCTTACCAAGACCTTGCATGAGCACACTATAATTGTGTCAATACATCTTCTTGGAAAAAGGTAAAGAAAAAAAAGTTTGTCGATTTAGTTAAATGACTTTTACAAGAATAATACTACATGAATTTAAAAATTAGACTTAATAATTATAATCATTGATTTTATTGTGGATTTCAGCATTTATTGAGACTCACTACCTATTCAATGATTGTGATTATCAAATATAATTTTTAAATTCACGTAGCATTGCTACTAACTTGATTTGCTTTTTATGGGTCACTTTGACTTTATATTGTTATGGAATCCAATGAACTTGATCAAATCGGATTTGTAATTGTTGTGGTTCAAGGACATTGAAGCATGATTAAAGATGTTGTAAAAATAATGAGGTGTGAACTCTTGATTATTTAATACTCAATTGGTTTTTAGTTTAAAAAGATCTCAAATAGTGAGGCTAACTTCATTGTCAATGAACTTTCTTTATGAAGTTTTGTGAGTTGCAAATGTTGGGGAAATCAGGCTTGGTATTTTTATTTTGAACTTTCCAGTATAACATCCTTTTTAATTGTATCTTCTATCATTTATAGCAATATTTATCAAAATCTAGTAATAATAAAATAAATATTTATTTTCATACTAGATTACTAAATAATAAATTACTTGTTATTTATCTTCGGTCTTTTTTTGTAAACTTATTTATATTTAAATACACTCAAAAAATTTGTTTGGAGATAAGTCCATTTTAAGCTTCATTGTCCAAAATACTCTCAATAGTTATATTTAATCAAAATTTGTTTGAAAAAACTAACAACTCCTAAATTGAAAATTATATTAGTACTAACAACTCATACTTTAGAAATTGGGCTAGCATTAAAATTATGTTTCTATAGTAACATTAAACAGTAATACTTTTAACAAAAAAATAGTAATATCAAACAGTAACATGTTCAATAAAAATTTGATCATTGTAATAAAGTGACACCTTCACAACAAAATAAATACTCACATACGATGTTAATCAAACAACCCTTGCTTAACAATCTATTTATGGCAATGGTGGTGGACTTACAACGATCCTCTAAGGGTCAAGTGCAATGCAAAAATGGCTGGGATGAATTTACCTATAGAGAAACCCAAAGGAAGCAAGAAGTTGAAGGATTGGGAGTCTCCTTGAGCAAATGCACAGTGACAATGGGTCCATTTGAAGTTGACTGAACTAACGTTGATTTTATAAGTTTTGGGGGAAAATAAATCAAGTTCATTTGGACATCGGCTTCTGCACCAGCTTAGCAACAGTTTCTTGGATCTAAAAAGATTTATTCAAGAAATTATTTTTATGGGCTTTTTTCTGGCTTTTAGAGTTTTGTTGCGTGTTTTACATAATTTTTTGGTTTATTATACTCATAAAATATTATTAGTAACGTAAAAAAATTTCATATTTTGAGAATTATTTTGCATAATTTATATTTATATATATAATATTTTGTTTATTTTGACACAAAAAAATAGAAAGTCATTCCAAACATGTTTTTCAATTTTTTCAGCTGTTTAAAGAATATCTTGAACGGCTTTAAGAGAGTTTTTTAATTCTGACTTTTTTATAAAGTTTTTCAAATCGCAACTTTTCACGTAATATCATGATGGTAATCGATCCCAAATAATTGGGACCTTGGTTTGATTTGGTTTAATTTAGTATCATTATGGTTTGTTTAGAGGTTGCATTTGTTACCGTGGACGAAGGTTTTTGAAGTGTTAGTTTTTGGTTGGATCTTTCACAAAGAACTATCACATCTAATACTAATGATCCTTTGGTCTAATGATACTATTTGTCTTGTAAAGACTTTGTCTTGTTGACGTCAAGGGTTCAAGTGCCCCTTCCCCTTTCCTCGCCCCAAAAAAAAAAAAAAACTATCACATAAAATGATCTATCATGAACTTCTCTTGAGTAGTTGTAATTTATTTCTTATGAATTATAAGTTAATCTTTCAAAATTGTAACTTAATCTTTCAAAATTATAATTTTTGATATCATCATTATGATTGATTATGTATTTCACAAGTTGTATTTTTCACCTTAAAAGATTATATTTTTTTAATACCTTACTACAATCGTAGCCTTTCCCAAAGATAGGTGGCTCAGTGTTGTCCTGGGTCAGGTCTTGTGTAAAAACATTGGCCTAGCAACTTCAGGACTAGGCATAGGCCCAAAAAAGGGGCTTCTTGGACCTAACTCGGTTAAAGGGAACTATAAAAAATTACGGGCTTGATTGGTTTATATATCAAAAAACAGTATTCAAAAATAATTTTTAAAAATTTTTAGATTGTAAAATTTGTTTGATTATATATTTTTGAAAATAATTTTAAAGAATAAAAAATTATAAACTCTATTTGGACAATAATCCACAAAATCCACAATTCTCATCTTTATCTTTCTTTCTTCACAACCCCCCCCACACACACACGCACACACAAACATAAACACAAACACACACACACGTGATGTATGTGTTTTGTCTAGATTTGTCGAAGTGGAGAGAGAAACTCTGATAATCATTGCACACGCCGAAGATCTCTTTGTGTATGTGTCTTGAACCCAAATCGTTGCAAAGAGAGAGGGGGGGTTTATATTTCAACAAAAAAAATGTATTTTGTTGCTAAGAAAGTTTGATGGGCGGACCTCATTAAAGATGACGGGTTGTTTCTCTTATTTTTTATTTTAGCCTAAAAACTCAGAAAACATGGCTAAACTTATTTTCTATTTCTTTCTGAAAACTGTTTGTCGATTAAAATTTTTCAGTCTAATTCAATAGATTTTGGAACAACAAAAACAAAAGAGAATTTGTTATTTGAGAACTCAATCCTACATTGACTAAATTTTTAAAAGTATATATATCTGACCTTTGAGTTAAAGTGAGACCTTGAGACTCTCACGTGCATAAGAGTGGGACAAGCAGAGGACATACGGGGTTTCTAATATTTATGAGACACACTTACCCGTCTAGTCAATAAGATATTACAAGTATTAAATCCACTTTTTAATATTTTATTTAATTATTTTTTGTCATAACTCTTATATTAAATTTTCAATTTTTGAAAAATATATTTACGGAACACACTGACCAACCTAGTCCACACCTGGATAGCAGGTGTCCCCTAACTCGCCTAAGTAGAATAAGATGTTAACAAGTATTAAATCTACTTTTTTAATATTTTATCTATTTATTTTTCTTCATAACTCCTACATTAAAATTTTAGTTTCTGAATACCAAAGGTTCTAACGTCTAGTTTTTCAACAATTATTTTTTATTTAATTTTTATAGTTATTGTTTGATTAAATATGGGTATAATTATGAAATATTAAACACTTATATTTTCTGTATATATATTTACATAGATTAGTATATAATACACAATCTGAATATTTACTATATTCTTCTCTATTGTATAAGTTTTCGGCCAAAATTTAAGGGTGTCGTATGAAATTTCTGTTTCATTCGATTGTGTAAATCTGAGTGAAGTTACAATCAGTAGATTGAGCTATTATATCCTAGGGACGATGTGTTGTTAGTTGTTACTTTTTGTGTTGTGTTTCTTTCATAAAATGACGTAAATCGTTTTAATAGAGTGACATAATTTATGTCTCACTTTACCGTACACTTTACATTTCGAATTCCATTTTTTTATCTAACAAAATGTAAGCAAAGACTACAAACAACCCGATTTTTTATGGTGACTACAAGCAATGTTCAAGTTTGAGGATTTCATATTTTGAATTGAGTTTTGGTTGACCCTCCTTGTTCAAGGGAGGATGGTTGATATACACTTGAATACCTTCCTTGATTATATGGCTCTTTGCTGAACCTAAACGTAGGTCAAAGACAGTTGCTGTGTAGATTATAGACCATCTTTTTTTTTTTTTTTTTTTTGGCTTTGTTTTTGCTGTGCTGGTATAAAGCAGCTTAGTTTTGTATAATATAGTACCGAGGGTAAAATTATAATAAGACTTTTCAAAATATGTATTGTTTGTCGGTTGGTCCCGTAAATATTTAATTGAATCACTTTGGTCAAATCAAAGACAGTTATTTAATAATATTAAAAAAAATAAAATTTAACACTATCCTTTCATGAATTAAGTACAAATCTACGATAGTTTTAAAACAAAATTATGTTACTTTTGATTTTATTACCAAACTGCTTAAAAAGTGGAATTGTTTAAAAATTATTGCAGTTTAGTAAATAAATTTTAAAATGTGGATAAATTTATTTAAAAACTATCATAGTCATTAATTTTTTATTTTTTATTGATCAGCCATAGTCATTAATTCATCCTTTCACTTTCTGAAAAAAAAAATTCAGACTGAGGTACTTTGGTCCAAGTACATTCTTTGGTCAGTTTAGACCAAGCCACTCAAGGAACATCTCGAGGTTGACAACATTTATGGGTGGAATTCTCATATCCGTGATGGGTCCATGTTAGTAATGAATCCTAAAGCAACTTCTATAGGGCCATATGTCCTTTGGATTGCTGATTTTTTTGCTTTTGGGTAAGGAACATGACATGTGAAGTGTACTTCATAATAATACAATCTCTGTCACTCACTCACTCACAGCATGCTATTTATATTTACTATTACTATTATTTTTATTATTATTATTATTTTAATTTAAAGATCAAGAATATGTGAACCAAATTATATTGTAACCACATTCTCACACTAAAAGCTATGAATAATATAATAAAATCTTTCCATTTTTATTAATGGATTTTTTATCTAATGGTACTAATTGTTTTGTAAAAGTTTTATCTTCTTGAAGTCAATAGTTTAAGTTTATGAACGAAAAAAAACATGATTAATTGGTAAGACAAATCTCAATTGCTTAGATGAACCATATTTAAGTCTTAACTGGTGTATAAATTGAGTAATCGATTCATACACCCAGGTTTGTCATCGGTTCTATTAAGACTCGTGAACTTGGATAACATAAGCGCGCCTCTATTCATTGGAGATAGATAAGAAATTTCCGTCGTTACCAAAAAAAACCTCTCCACTTTTTTGATGGATTCCAGCTAAACAGCTAGCAATGTTAAGGCATTCAACATCCTTGGACCTTAGGCAATATAATTTGGTTAATTGTACTTAGCTCCTTGAGCTTAGTATATGAATCAAATGAACCACTACTTATTTTAAAAGGAACATGTTCACTTCTCAAGGTTTCATAATTAGTAGTTTTTAGTCATATGACATTACAATCCATATATTAGTAAAATTCTATAAGCAAAATCTAGAAATTACTATTTTAAGATTCATTATTAAAACAAAAAAATGGTACAACGCACAAGAATCTCATCACAGTAAAGTCTAGAGAGGTTCAAATATAAGAAACATTATCCCTACGTGCAGAAAAATTATTTTCACAGTTTGAACTCTTCATGTCTATGTCACAATAAAATAATTTTATCGTTATCCAAAAGGCCCGCCCTCTCCCATTAACTATAATATGCAAGCCTAAATCGTAACACAACCTTCATTATATTTAGATTGTGGTCAAAGGAAACAAAAACAGTCCCCCCAATGGTGTAAGTAAAAGAGCTTAATCAGTGGTGATATGACAAATCCTAGTCCATAGTAGGTTTAAGGATCTATCAAGATACATTTACTTTTTTAAAGTGAACTTACAATATTATTTGATCAAAAAAATAAAAATTACAATATTATACTAAATATAGTATTATATATGCTTGAAAGCAATTGTTCGGATGGTTGAACTAAATTTCTGTTTGGAAGCTAGTTGATGAAGTTGACCACATTTGCATGGGAGGAAATAGGACATTGATGGAATGCTTGCTTATTTGTGTTAAACATGGTTAAAAATGGGAAGAAAAATAAAAATAATTTGTACTTTGAAGTAATTCAACCTATTAGGTATGGCTTCCAAGATTTTGTGTTGCTAATTTCACAATCTATCTATAATATAAAACAGAGCAAATTTCAATAAATCTATTTAATGGTCTCAATAGACACATTCAAGGGCTTATAATATTTTTCTCAAAATCATTCACATTATACCGTATCTTCAAACGTTACTTACCTCTAGTACACTTATAGACTACAGAGTACGTGTGTGTGTATATATATATATATATATATATATTCTTATTTCCCTAGGCAAATGTGGGAAATAAGAATAAGAGTATATTGTTTTCTTCTTTAATCGTGTTTATTCTATTATTGTGTTTTGGTGATATCGATTATAATACATCACTATCTAAATGATTATTAATTTTTGAGCAATTTTATTGGGACATAATTTTAAAATTTAATGCATTTTGACATTAACCTTAATAATGAGTCCCAATATTTAATAAAGTTTATTATCCATCTAATGACTACAAGTCATTGGGTCCTCACAAATTAAATCATGAATCAGGTGTAACTTACTTCAGACATCCTAGACTTTTTTTGGACATAGAGAATTGTTACTATGATATTGTATATAAAAAAAGTATTTGTTGATGACATTAATTTGTTTCAAAGGATAAAAATTCATCTAGGTCAATTATAAATGACAATAATTAGTATAATAATTATTCTTTAACCTTTTATGTTTAAAGAATTTTTAAGTATTAAATATAATTTTAGAAAATACAAATTTATTAACTTCTACGATCAATAAAAAAAAAATTTTTAACTTGTTAATATATCCACCCAAAACAATTTCCTGGCTTCGCCCATAAATCCAGCTTATGAGGTACCCCCATTGAAATTCAATGATTATATATCATAAATTTTTCTGAAAGTCATTAGAATATCTTAAACATAAATGAACAACTAGCTGACATGTTTTATAGTATCAACAATAATCTCATGGACGAAGATACTCTGTAACATTAAAATTAAGTATTAATTATATAATATTTATATTTATATTATAATTATTTTTTTGTTTTTTTTTAAAATACACAATTTAAGATTAAAATAAAAAGAGAAAAAATAAAAGAGAGTTAGGAGAAAAGAAGAGAGAGTTAGATGTGAATTAGTAGGAGAGTATATTGGTTGAGTTGATTGTTTGAGCAAATATTTTTTTTTAGAATGAATTATGTATCATTGATTGAATTAAATAGATGCAATTTTGATCAATTTTAACTATTGTAGTATTTTTTATAAATTAAGGATTATATTTCTAATATTAGATATTTTGTCGTCGAATGTTTTATATTTTAAATTATAATTTATTTTTTTGTTTTCCTTGATTTAAAACAATAGTATTTTAAAAAAAATTATAATTGTTGATTAGTATTTTATGTAAAATATTATATTATTAGGATAAAATTTAAACACACTTCTGTTTTATTATATAGATATTTGTATGACTAGGATTGAACCCGGGTTGAGTCCGTGCCCGTGGATAACTGGATCCCATCCCAAATTGCACCCATAGACTCACAGTCCATGGTCACCGTCCACGCCGTTTGTTACGCGCTCACGACTCTATCTCTCTGACTCTCTCACACACACAAGACTCGGGCCTCAGCTTCCTCGAAAATGAACACTCTCTTTCAATCTCTCTCTCAACCTAGAAATCCACTTCTCTCTCGATAGCTTCGCTTTTCTCCATTCTTTCTGTCAGACCTCTCTCTCTCTCTCTCTCTCTCTCTCTCTCTCTCTCTCTCTGACCTTTCCCTCTACGCTACCCCTGTATTTCCTTCTTTTACAGACCTCCCTCCACCCCAGAACTCTCTCTCTCTCTCTCACACACACACACAGAGTTCACCTATCTGTGCTCAATTCCAACTCATCCTGGTTTTAACCCAGGTGTTGAAACTCCAATCGCATTAAAAAAATTCCCAAATGCATCCCACCACGACCTTACTACCACTGCCGGCGGAGGCTCCACCATCCCTAACCCAAATCCTGGACGAAGTCACCACCGTCCTCTGCCACATCCTCCCTTCTTCTCTCTCCGTCAAATCCTTCTCCACCCGCTGGCAAGTCCTCCGGTCAAAGCTCGCCACTCTTAAATCCTCCATCTCCGAAGTCTCCGACTCTCTACACTGGTCCGAAAGCCCTCTCCTCGAAACCCTCCTTCCCAACATTCTCTCGACTCTCCACCGCGTCCAGACCCTCTGTGACCAATGCTCCGACCCAACATTCAACCCCGGCAAGCTCCTCATGCAGTCCGATCTCGACATGGCCACCGGCTGGCTCTCCAATCAAATTCATGACCTCGATTTGCTCCTCCGGTCCGGCGTTCTCCGTCAAACCAACGCCATCGTGCTCTCTCAACCCGTTCCAGGCTCTGGTAAAGAAGATTTGGGGTTCTTCATCAAAGACCTCTTCACAAGATTACAAATCGGAGGTATCGAGTTCAAGAAAAAGGCAATGGAGTCTTTGCTTCAACTTCTATCCGATGATGAAAAATCGGCCAATTTAGTAGCTAAAGAAGGCAATGTTGGTTATTTAGTGCAACTTCTTGATCTAAATTCTCATCCTTCGCTACGAGAACAGGCCGTTTCAGCTGTATCGATTTTGGCTTCCGCTAGTGATCAGTCCAGAAAATTCGTGTTTGAAGAGGGAGGATTGGGGCCTTTGTTGAGAACCATCGAGTCAGGTTCGACGGGTTTGAAGGAAAAAGCGGCTATGGCCGTCGAAGCCATCACCACCGATCCTGATAATGCCTGGGCAATCTCTGCTTACGGAGGAGTCCCTATACTCATCGAATTGTGCAGGTCTGGGTCAACGACCGCACAATCACGAGCCGTTGGGGCTATCACAAATGTTTCCAAAGTTGAAGACATTAGAACCGCTTTGGTGGAAGAAGGGGCTATTCCTGTTCTGGTCCAGTTGCTTAATTCCGGCACAGCCTCGACGCAGGAAAAAGCGGCGAATTGTATTTCAATTCTTGCTTCTTCCGGTGAGTTTTTCCGAGCGTTAATAACACAACAAGATAAGGGATTACAAAGACTGCTACAATTGCTTCATGAATCGTCCAGTTCAGATACGTTAGAACACGTTTTGCGAGCAATTTATTCACTTTCAGCTTCTGAATCAATCTCTCGGGTTTTATCATCATCAACTACATTTATTATACGGATATCGGAGATTATAAAGCAAGGAAGCATAATCTCACAGCATATTTCTGCTTCTTTGCTCTCTAATTTATCGATAAGTGATGGTAATAAAAGGGCTGTTTCTGGGTGTATGGGGTCATTGGTGAAGCTAATGGAATCAGCAAAGCCTGATGGCATACAGGAGGTGGCGGCGAATGCGTTGGTTTCGATGTTGGCGGTGAGATCAAGTCGGAAAGAGTTGGTGAGGGATGAGAAGAGTGTGATGAGGTTGATTCAGATGCTGGATCCGAAGAATGAGTTGGTTTCTAAGAAGTTTCCGGTGGCGGTGGTATCGGCGGTGATGGCCGGTGGGAGTCAGGGGTGTCGGAAGAGGTTGGTGGCTGCTGGGGCTTATGGGGTTTTGCAGAGGTTAACGGAAATGGAGGTCGCCGGAGCAAAGAAGGCTTTGCAGAGACTTTCCGGTAATAGGCTCAAGAGTATTTTGAGCAGGACTTGGAGGGCATAATGTACAAAGTTACTAACCCCGCCAACAAAGGTAATTTTCTGTAAAAATGGAAAATTAAATAATATCAGGATTATCTGTTTCATTAATGATTTCCGGGTTTCTGGTTGTAAAGACAATACTGCCCTTGTATACATATGTACTTTGGCTCCACCACATGATTTTTTTTTTTTTTTTAATGTGTTTATTAATCATCTTCGTCTTAGGCAAGCCGATATTCATGCGTGGATAAATCTCTCGTGATCTAGCCCAAGGAATTGCCACAAGCTACCCTTAGAATTTTTGCCCATGGTTTTGCCAATTGATCAAACAAAAAGACATGGGAACACATCATTTCATGTGTGCCCTCTCTAATTTTGATGGCTGGACTTTTTTCCCAAAAAAAAATGCTTAATAACCAGGGTTTTCACTTGATCATTATTGAAGGACCCATGCCATGATGTGTTCTATATTTTGGTGCTGCAATGGGAAATCACTAGTCCTAGCATTTACTTCTTGTTGGTTGAATTGGACTCGGGTCCTCTCCAGTACTTTTTCTCTCAACTTTCTTCGATGGTAGATCATTCACTATTATATCGGTGGGAATGTCTAGATAGTTAGTTTCATTTGAATTCATGGCGAGAAGATTAGAAAAAAATTGTACGATACGAGATGGATCCAAATCGAAAACAAATTGCTTTTGAACCAATATAAATTCATCCTTATTGGGGGAGCAGTAGGTGGTTCATTGTTGAAATAAATCCATTGTTTAGGTTGACAAGGATGTTCCAATAATTACATTTTTTCCCTCAAAACTTTTTTCACAGAACAACTTGATCAGCTACTCGTACTACTGTGATTCATATAATACTACTACTGGTAGTTCATCCTCTTTTCTTGGTATGGATGGGATTGCTAGCTCGTGAACTTAATGGATGCCTCTTTGGTAGGTATACCATTGATAGATCAAGACATTGAATGTATAACATGTTGTGTGTTCAGTCTTTTGTATTTTTATTTGTCCTGACATTGTTGTTGTTTTGGTTTTTATGCAGGAGTTTGTTTGGATTTTTCTAACTGTCTGAAGCGGAAACTACTTTCCTGCACAGCAAAGACACACACACGGTAAAGATTTTACCTTATACTATAGAATCATTATTAAAAAAAAAAATGATTATTTCAAAATCATATTACACAGGCATGGATGCGGTTTTTAGCGAGTATCCTCGTTTTCTTTTTCTTTTTAATAATCGTAAAATGGTTGACTCTATGAACCATTTACGATTATTTTGTCCTCTCTCTGTCTCTCTCATTTTATTTAATTTTGTTTTGATAATGTACATCTGAGGCTGTTTGTTTCATTTGTAATGGCCAAGTTCTAATTAGAAAGTGTGTATTTGATTTGGCGTGCCTTCTGAACTTGCATTTGACCTTCGTATTGTGGTTAAACTATGTGAATACATGGCTACGAATATTTGTTTGTTCTACTTGTTTGGTGAATTCTGAGGATGGGCATATAGCACTCATCCACGGGAAGCTCAACCTCTAGGGCTAAGGTTCTTTCTTTTATTTCTTCACCTGCCATTCTAGCAAATAGATGGGAACTGAACCTGTTCGGTAGCTTAAGTGATAACAGGAACGAGCGGTAAACATAGATTTCTTAAGTCTGATCTTGACAATTTTTTAGGGTCAGGTCATGAGGAATTTATTCTTCATGAATATCCTAATTTTAGCATGGATGACCTGTTTTGTTTTTTACCGGACCGGAAAAGGGATTAGTCGAGGTGTGTGTTAATTGACTCGAACACTCTTACCGTTAAAAAAAAAAACAAATAAATGGGAATTGATACTTTGTAGAAAGTGTTTTAATATTGAATTAGCCCCTTATTAAGATGAGGGGGAAGGGGATGGTGGATGGGAATGGACCCAAAAATGGACGGTCAAGATTGTTGGTACTGAAACATCTTGGTGCGAATCTGCTAAAAAGTAATAGTTAATTGGGGAGGAAGCAGCGGCGTAGATGTAGGGAAGAAGGGGGTACACACCATGAAAGAATGGGGTAGCTTTTGAGGGTCCCAAGCAAGAGAGCGACAACACATGGGAAAGTTGAAGTGGTACTAGAATATATTATATATATATATATATAGATAATGGTGGGTCATCGTCTTTCCTGCAGTTTTAGAAAGTTGAAGATTATTAGAGAGAGTTTGTGAATTAGCTTGGATTGTAGGGGGTAATGGAGGGTCCTACTCATGTTCTGTATGGTCCATTTCTCCTCCACAGCTTCACAATTTCACATGCTCTCTCTCTCCCCCTCTCCTCCTTGTTTGGTACACTTCTACCACAATGCATTTTATGCTGCAAAAAGAGAGAGTGTGAGACTTTTTCTGGTCATATTTCCCTGTGATATCCCTTTAAAGCAACTGCATAAACAAGCTGTAAGGCTTCACACCTCTCTATCTCTCCTGTCATTATTTTCTCAGTTATGGTGCCTCACTTTTGTCCTCTTCCCTGCTAAAACTTCCCAGACACAATTACAGTTATCTTCAACTTCAAGAACCCAACTCCAATACTTGCCCCTCTCAATTTTCCCATTGATGCTTCCCTGAAACTTTTTTTTTTTGTATTTAATCACGTGTAACTTTTCCTCTTAACTATTTTTAACCCCACTTAAATTTATCTAATCTAATCTCTTCCCACTTTCCTATCCTTCTCTTTCTTCTCACTTGGAAGTTCAATAAAAATTGTGTACATCAATTATTGATCATGCCAGTTTAAACCTAAAAGGGAAGCTCAAGTAATAATATGAACGAGTTATAAATTTAAACGTCTCGAGTTTAAAATCTTGACAATTTTATGGGGTCAAATTATGAAGAATTTATTCTCAATACCTTATCCACTCCATCCCTATACCTTTGGAAGAAGGTTTCTCCCATTGCATCTGGTCTGGGTGCTTTGTCCGGATGATGAAATCCTCAAGTTAGGTTCAAGTGTCATTTTACTTGTTGTAATTCAGATGGACCCACCTACAACTCACATGCATTACTAAATCATTATATATGAACCAAATTGAAATTGTTTAGTTATGACCTCTAGAACGAAAGAGACATGAAGTGTGTTTTGGGGTGGGGGAAGAAAAGCCTTATTTTCCTATACACTTTCGTGGACTTCAACTTTGAACACTTCTTTTCTGAGAGAGAGAGAGAGAGAGAGAGAGTGTGTCAACACCGAAGAAGCTGCAATTGAAACTGTAGCTTTTACGGCTTTTCGGTGAGGCTAATTTGCTTTCACAACAAAAACCTAACTTCATGATCTCATGTTTAAATCATGTCATTTCAAAAAAAAAGTATTATCTATACTCCATCCAATTTCAATTTTATTTTGTACATAAATCATAAATGATCGCATAAAATTAAATTTAGTATGATCCGTGTAAAAAAGAAGTCTAACTAATTAATCTGTTGTGATTAACTGAATTTAAACTTGACTGTCAAATTTAAATACTTGTTAGTCGTAACAAATTTGCGAAGAGCTCGAGACGAAATTAAATCATACAATTGAATAATTAATTACGAAACAAATCAATTTTCAGCGAAGATCCCACAAATTCTGTATAACTCATCATAAAATCAACCCTTATAAGTTCAAACTTTACCACTAAAAGAGAGTGAGATTGAAGTGCATGTGATTAGAATTATTTGATAGATATGTCCTTGTTTATATAATGACCCTTAAAAAAAAAATAGATATATACTTAGAGTTGTTCATCGGTTGGGTGGGGATTGTTTGACAATAAAAAAAATATATATTCAAATCGAATTATCCATTATTTGGATACGACTCATTGACAAAATGAACTATAAATCTTATTACAATTTGGCATTTCGATTTTTCCAATCTATCTATCTATATATTATATCGAATCTCAATTTGTACACTAAAAATTAAAAATTTTAATTTGTATCCTCAAAGATAGAAATCTATATCAATGTGCACTTGAAGTTAACAGTCGTTAATTTGCTGTCTAAAAACTAAATGAATAAATTAAATCTATTACGTCCTCATGTTTGTCACTTAATCAACTAAATCCC